CGTGTGCCGGGTGACCAAGCGCCCCGACTTCGCCGCCACGGGTCAGTGGGAGGTGGTGACGGAGAGCGAGGGGAAGCAGGAGACGGCCGTCTTTGACGCTGTGCTGGTGTGCACCGGGCACCACACTGAGGCGCACCTCCCGCTGAGCACCTTCCCAGGTACGGCCCCGCGGGCTGCTCACCTGCTCCCTGACACCCCTGGGAGCACCCTTCTCCCTGGCTTAGCCCCCATCCTGCTCTGGCTGCTGCCAAAAATGCCTCTGGAAGTTAACACACCAGGTGAAATTGCACAAGCATGCTGCTATCCCACCCATCTTGGTGGTCTGTCCTTGGTGGCTCTTGCCATGCCACCAGTGCCTGACCAAAGTGCCCTTCTGGCAGGTGCCACTGCTGTCAGCTCACCTCTCCCACCAGAGACAGGCTCCCCAAGCTGCTGGCCACACACCCACACTGGCTCTCTAGCTCCCTGGCAAGGCTTGAGAGCTTGGTGCTGGTGGTGGTCTTCTCCTCTGGGTGCCAGGCAAAAATGCCTGGAGTGCTTTCAGCTGTGCAGACCCTCTGTGGGTGGCGAACAGGCTGCAGCAACAGTGTCACCAGGGTCTGGCGGGATGACACTGGTCCCAGCTGCTCCTCCGCCCCCAACGCCTGGCACTGTGCAGGAACTGCAGGAGGATTTCAGGGTGGGAGCACGGAGGTCTCCAGTCCAAGCTCTGCTCCAAGCCAGGCCAGCCCCAAAGCCAGAGCAGGATGCTCAGGGCCACACTGAGCATCTCCCAGGCTGGAGATCCCACTGCCTCTCTGGGCACCATCCCAGAGCTGCCTTGCTCCCGTTGGTCACGCTGGTCCCAGCCTGTTCCCAGAACACGTCACCAACCCGAGTAGGGGGACAGCCACCCCCTGCTCCACATCCCTGCCCAGCATGGCTTCTCTCTCTCTTCCAGGGCTGGAAAAGTTTTCAGGCTGGTACCTGCACAGCCGGGACTACAAGAGCCCACAGTCCTTTTTGGGGAAGCGGGTGGTTGTGGTCGGCACTGGGAATTCAGGCATTGACATCGCAGTGGAGCTGAGCCACACAGCCAAGCAGGTGCGCTGGGAGAGCCCCTGGGGGGCTGGGGTGCTTATTATTTGGACCCCAGCGGGCACCAAGCAACCCCCCACCATCCCATGGGCTCCCCTCCCTCCGGCACCCAGCCACGAGTACCCCATCCCCTCTCAATGCGGGTGGCTGTTGTGGTCCCAGCAGCTGTGCCAGCATCCCTGCCCCAAGAGCACAGCGGGGGCCCAGTCCGGTCCTGCGGATGCTGCCGCACCACGACCTCTCCTTCCTGCCAGGTCTTCCTCAGCACCAGGCGTGGGACCTGGGTGCTGCACCGGGTGGCGGATGGTGGGTACCCCTTCGACTTCTCCTACATCAGCCGCTTCATACAGCTCGTCCGCAGCCTGCTGCCCCACAATGCCAGCAGCTTATTCCTGGAAAGGAAGCTGAACACCCGCTTCAACCACGCACTCTATGGCCTCCAGCCCCAGCACCGGTGAGTGCCCTGACAGCACCCTGGGGACCTGCCCCAGCACTGCCCGTCCCACTGCCCGGGCTCTGCACAAGGTCTGTCTGTGCCCTCCAGGATCCTCGAGCAGCACCCAACCATCAACGACGACCTGCCTAACCGCATCATTGCGGGCATGGTGCTGGTGAAGCCGAATGTCCGGGAGTTCACGGAGACATCTGCCATCTTCGAGGATGGCACCAGGGAAGACATCGACGCTGTGGTCTTTGCCACGGGATACAGCTTCTCCTTCCCCTTCCTCGAGGACTGCGTGAAGGTGGTGGAGAACCAGATCTCCCTCTACAAATTCATGTTTCCCCCTGACATGGAAAAGCCGACGCTGGCTTTCATCGGCCTCGTTCAGCCCCTGGGCGCCATCATGCCCATCTCCGAGCTCCAGTGTCGCTGGGCCACCCGCGTCTTCAAGGGTAAGCGAGGCAGGGTGGGGGGGATGCAGCCAGGCTCCCTTGGCCACGGCAAGGCTGAGTC